ATATGTTATATTATATTATATTTAGTTATCTATTTTTATTTATTTTTTGTTAATAAGTGGAGACGAATACAAGCAGTGGTCTTGTTCATGAATATAAAAACAATAAATCCAACATAGGAAAATGGCTCAGACAATTATTTGGTCTTATGTTTCTAGATCCTTAAGAAGTTGAACTATGTTTTGAAAATGACTTTAAAAATTACCAACCCAATGATGCACGAATTAAAAAAATTATCACTTACTTAGACAAAACATACATACAACAGGATTCAACATATCCACCCAGTATTTGGGCCAATAAAGAAGCAACACTGGAAAGAACAACTAACAACTGTGAGTCTTTTCATGCCAAATTTGGTAATTTATTTACTTCAGCACATCCAAATATTGAAAGTTTTCATTAAAAATGTATTAGCCATGCAGACGGGTTCTTATATACGAATGAATTCTGTCAATAATAATGAAAGTAGGATAATTAGAACACAACAAAAAAACAATATAAAATTTATAAATAAAAAAATTGAATTGTATAACGACAACCAAATTGATAGGTATAATTTTGTATAGAGTTTAGCTTCATTTAATGCAATTTAATTTTAATTTACATTAAACATTTTATATTTGATCTTATATAATAATTGATATGCATGAACCTTTTTATTCTATAATTTTAATAACATAATATATTGTATTTATAATAAATAAATTAATACAATAATAAATACGATATATTTTATACCGTGTGCGGAGTTAGGGTGTTAAAAAAAAAATCCTGTACGCGGACTGCGGAGTTAAGGTGCCGAAAAAAATCCTGTATGCGCAGTTAAGGTGTCGAAAAAATAACTTGTATGCGGAGTTAAGGTGATATATTATAAAATGGCGACGATCCGTGCGGAGTTACGGTGCACCGAAATTTATTAGTTCTTATCTTGTTTATTCCGTTAACTATTTGGTTCGGTTTTCCAGTGACCTCATTTATTATATTCCAAACTAGTTTAGAATTTGATTGAGCGCGCTGTAATCTTTTTTGATAATAGGTATAATTGTTTAGATAAGCGTACAAGTTTATTTAACATGTTTCTATACAAATTGTAGTATTGCTTAAATTTAATGTCAAAAGGTCTAGATTTTAATTTAGTATATAATTTCTCCCTATTCCTAATAGAGGTTACAATACCTGTAGTAATCCATTCCTTGAGTTTCCGCTTTGTTTTTGATTTGTTAATATTATATTTAAAAATAGTTGAATAATTTATAAATTCTTTTATTTTAAAGTTAAAAACTTTTATCATATCATCTACATTATCATAATTCAAACAAGAATACCAATTCTCAGTTTTAATTAATACATTTAAGTGGTTAATATCTATCTTATTTACTATTAAATTGTTATGAGTAACTTTTTCATAATTATTAATATTGGATATAATTAAAATTGTAGAATAATGGTCAGTTATATCACACCTTAAAATATTAGATAGTACTATATTAGAATCAATGTTTCTAACAAAAATATGATCAATGCACGTTTTTGAATGATTAGTTACTCTAGTACAATCATTAATGCAAGGCAAAAATCCATTACTCGCCATAATATTTAAATATGTATTAATATATAAATATCAATAAAGTTTTATCTGTTGTGCCAAAAAGTGTAAAAATTTAATACAAGACTCTTGATATATTGTTACAATTTCAGCTGAAAAATATTTAAAATACAAATGCACAATTTTTTTTTATAAGCATTTAAAGTTCGAATTTTGACAAAATTTATCATATTTAAAATTTAATAATTTTTTTGTATTCAATAATTTATTAAATGTTCAATTTTTATATCTAAGGATTAGAAATTTAAAACAAAGGTTCTCATAAATAGTTCATACTGTAACCAAAAAATCTAAGAAATATATGAACACAGTTATTTTTTACAGACATTTTAAATTCAAATTTGGACGAAATTACATATTAAAAAACCTAGAATAACTATTTTAGTTATTTTGTTGTGATTGAATAATATTATTCGTGGGTACTTGAAACTTCTAAAGTGTACTATTATATATATCTGATAGTATCACGGTTTTTTGTTGGTGTATAACGAGTTATAAGTACCTAGTGGATATTGTGATATGATTAATTTGGAATTCATTATAGGTAAAATTTTGGTTTAGTACCTACCATAGATATGTATATATAATAAGTCTTATACCTAGACTGACATACCGTCTCCGCTCAGAATCGTTTTTCTTATACAATGATATTATATCGTTGAATTCAAATTTAATATCATCCATTATACAGTTACCCACTTGTAACCTACTGTACAGCAGAGCGAAACCCACTTGCCCACCTTTTTTTCGCTGGGCATGTTCAGGTCATATTGTTTTTATTATCACAGCTGGAATGGAATCGGTACTGTCCCGGGTTTTAGAGTAGGTACCCACGATTTAAGATACTTTTATTACCCTAATTTTGTTACTTTAAGCATTGAGCAATGCTTTTAGGTACCTATTGTTTATTTTAAAAGAAACTAGTATTAAGAGGATGTCAGCGCACTATTTGTTTTCTCTATCTACCCCACTCGCAACATTTAAGCAGAATCATTGTTTCTATGTTTTTTAAGTATTTAGAGGGAATGACAAATCGATTTTATATTTTATTGTTATTAGATATTGTATTCGACTTTCAAAATAGACAAAACAATTTTGAAACAATATTTAGACAAGTCGACATGTCATTCCCTCAAAAATATTATTCCTTCTTTATCTTTTTTGTAATAGGTAGGTAATTACTAATTTTACTTTAAGATTACATAAAAACATAGAAAAAACGATTCTGTGTAAATGCGTTTTGTCTATGCCTGCGTGGGCCAGTTTTAAATGGTGCGCTGACATCCTCTTAATAGATAATATTATAATAGATGCGGTAAATAAATAAATAAATATGTTAAAATAATTGTCTATGATTTTTCTTTTGAGAAATTTAGTTTTTACATAATTGCAATAAAAGGGTTAAGCTATTGTGGTTTCAATGCTTAGTTGCTAAAATGATAGGTGTTCTTCAATCATCGTCGAGTATTAAGAAGTTTAAGTACATTAAAACGTTTTTCTGCAGTTGTACTATACATATAAGTTATAACTTAGTGTCAATACTCAATATGTACCAACCTGTAAGCATATAATATTTATTTGACCCAAGGGCCAATAAAACATGTATAATATATTAATATGATAATAATATAATTATTCATTGACATAGGTATGAATGTATGATAATTATAGAAATATTTTTTATTTTTTTATTTTATTAAAAGAATATTTACAATCTGTATACATAAAATAATACAATAAGTAAATTATGAAAGCTTAAACGAAAAAACGAAAAGGACATTAAGGCTTGAGAGAAGGGGGCGCGCGCCCATTGACAACCACTTCAAATAGAAATATTAAAATAATTATCACCTCAATGGTTCAGTACTTCAATGTAGGTATATAAAAATAGATTTTTAGGCCAAATCAAATGAAAATTTGGTAAATAAATAAATAACTTTATTGACAGTAATCAGATCAAAAATACATAGTAATATCATAGGCTGACTGACCGTCTTTGCTCAGAATCGTTTTTTGTACACAATGATATTATTTCATTGAAGTCAAATTTAACACCATCCATGACAGTAACCCACTTGCCCTAATTTATTTTTATCAGAATATATTGCTGGCGGCTTTCTATGGTGTTGGGTTGTGGCCGGTTTACTTTGAATTTAACTTGAATTACAGAATTAATACCAATTAAGGAGCTACCAGGGCCAGATTGGGTAATTAGCAGTTCCTAAGAATATTTTCTAGACATTATATTTTTGTATAATGTACTAAACCAGTTCTCAGTTTATTTAAGTAAATAAAATTAACTTCTATTGGGCACCATTTTATAATAACGTACAAATAATTGAATATAGTTTATGCAAGATATGGGTATAATCATTAATAATTTACACTGATAGTGTGTTGGAGTGAAAAAAAATAAATACAAGAATCAAAATAAAACTATAACCTATCAAATTTACAAATGTTAAGGGAGCAAGAAACACGAAAAATAAGTTATTTATTTGAAAGAATATTTAATTTTAATTTTTAACAATAATGGTTTAGCTTTAGTGTTACTATTCACATTATTCAACAAGTTATAGGGAATGGAATAGACACGTAACGTCATTGGGCCAGGTTTATCTTAAACGTGTTTAAGTTGTTAGCTTCACACAATATTTTAATTACATTTATAGAGTATATTTTTGAATTTTTGTTGTACATATGTGATGTTTTTATGCACTGAAGATGTTAGTTGAGCCAGGATTTGTCCTAAGTGTTTAGTTTTTTTTAAATATATAAAATCATATAATAGTAATTTTTGTTATGCATGCTTATGTAGTGGTAGCAGTCACTTATCGCAAAATGGCATGGCGCATCAGCCATTATCTCAAAAGTTTGAATAAAATACTGATACTTCTATTGTCTTAAGCACAAAAAATCACATAAATATTTATATTATGTGAATCAACCACCAAAAATAAAACTTTTAAATAGGTAAAACATTGTGTAAAGTGAGGAACTTTTTCACAATATATAAGATAGGCAATTTAAATCGAGCCCGGCCATTCCTTAAACAAGATTTAATTTTAACCCAATTGTTTTTAATAGTTTAACTATGATAATTTAATATTTAATAATAGTTTGCCGAAAACACTTATTATTGTAGTGTGCTCCTATTTCTAATGATGAGTAATGGATTTTATTTTAAATTCAAATTAAATAATAAAACATAATATCAATGAGATTTATATTATACTTGGTAAATTAAAATACTTTAGGAGTATAGAGTACAAAATTATAGTTCAGCTTATAATTTAACGCTTAGTGCTTAATTATGAGATAATACATTAAAACAAACTAATATTATAAATAAATTAAAAAAAACAAGTCTGCCATGTAAAAAAAATAAAATTATTATCCCAATTTTTCAACAGATTCCTGAATGTCATCAATTTGCTCTTTCAGTTTGTTCCACTGACCAACAGACAAAGATATGCCTAAAAACATAATATTAACATTTAAAATAAAAATTTAATTAGGATTCAATTTTTTTTTTATTTACCTTTTTTTCCAGGAAGTGTTTCTCCATTCTTCTCATAGAATTCACGGATGTCAATGAAAAGTTTACCACGAAATTCCCTTACTTTAACAAAACGATTTTTATCCAATGCAAAAGAATGCTCTTCTTCATTTGAGTTGGTTTTCTTGGAACTTCCTTTATCGGAAGGTTTAGATTTTTTTGGAGGAGGATTTCTCTAAAACCAAATTAATTTAATACATTAAAATTCACTGTTATGAATTATTATGATTATTTAATATATTATATACTTCTATACAATAAATAATATAATTTTAATATTATTTAAGATAATATGATTTACCTATAACAATAAACTATTGATTATGAATTAGTAAAGTACTGAAATGAAGAAAGATATGGTATTATAAATATATTAAAAAAATTAATAATTCAACATTTGACTTGAATGAATGCATTATATTAAAATATAGTAAGAAGTAAGAACCAATATCACTTATATTATTATGCAACTATTATAGGTATTAGGTTCAAGTTTGTTATAATTTTTTAAACATCATCTTTATTATTTGATTGTTCTATTAAATAAAGCTCAATACATGTCCAAAATGGATCTTTACAGTAGTACTTCAACTTGGTTTTTTTTTTAGATCAATTCAATATACAAAAAAATATTCAACATATGTTTATTATATATTATTATAATAAGTACCTAGATGTGTATTCATTTGTTTATTTTATTGGAAAACAATTATAGTATAGTTAGTGATTATATTATTTTGTGTGCAAGCTATTACATAGCATATACCTAAACCTAACTATAGTTAAATAATGAATGAACAATTATGAGTAAACATCAACAAAATCCATCTTGTGTTGTTAGTTTTAATGTTTCCAAATTAGGTATGTGTAACCAAATTTTTTAATCGTCGAAGAAACTTTAAAAAAAAGGGTAAGAATATTATCTGTGTTCTCGGTGGTTTTTTCTCATTATTTTAATTTTAATGCCAGTTCTACTTTACATACTTATAACTTGCTTAAAATTAAAAAATAACTGAAGTGTACACAAATAATATTCTTACCTGCCTTCAAACTTGATAGTAGTACAACACAAAATTGGTTTTGCCGAACACTAATTATCTAGTATACTGTATGTTTGTAAGTCAGTCGACAGAGACATCACATAATAATATTATGTAATCTACAGGTTAACAGGGGTTATGATACACCGACGGCATAATATTATTATATTAAGCCAAGAAAATCGTCCGAAATAAGTACCATACGGCCGGATTTCCGAAGTCGTTGGCCTATATTTTTACACAGCATTGTACAAACAACAATCTCCGGAGTCCGGGGAAACGTACCGGAGTACGCGATATTTTTTCAATCAAAAGTCACCTCTACATTATCATCAAACACGAGGAGTTAATTTTTTGAACGCATCAGCCTAAGACTTACGTCGTCGGGTCCGGAGTCGGAAGAAGAGGATTCTGAGGCGCTACGTTTGGACTTTTTCGGTGCCATTGTGAGAACGTTTCCTTTTCCTGTAACGTTGAAATCCCAAACCACTGAACGGGGACGGTTGGAAAATACTGAAAATCGAAATACAACTATATACGATGCTCACGAGAGTAGTTTGACAACGGATCTCAAATCTCAATATAATCTTTATTGACCTGAAGGCTAAACTTACCTATTACGCTAGACGGCAACAAATGTCACAAACTCATAGTCATAACCTCAAACACGGTCGCCGTTACAGTGCGACCGATCGGTGTCGCGTTAATTACCGGACGAACGTACAGTTCCGCGTTTTTGCGCGCCCGACGGGACAGCCCTGCGGATCGTGAAGTTTTCGTACCGCGAGTACATTTCCCGCGTACGAGTTTAGTCACGTTCAGACACGTTCCCTCGGTGATTTCGCGTTGTACTTGTTGAGTTTCGCGGCAGTCGCCGCTCGCGAATATTGCACGTTACCCTCGCGATAATCGGACGAACTTCTTGTCGTCGTTAAGGTAAGTTGTTCGTTCTTCTGACTTCTCGCTGTCAACGATATAAATTTACTATCGAAATTGACCACGAGTCCGGTGGCGTTCGTCAGAACATATAATGACTGAATTGCCGCAACTATAGGGGGACGCATATAGCATCCCTCTTAAATTTTAGCACCCCCAGCTGGCTGGCTATTTCCAAAATGTAAAAATTAATGCATTTTTATTATTTTGCCTATTATTATTTTATTATATTAATATTACGACTATTTTTTATCGATTCAGATTTTTCATGCCGTATGTTGGAAATACTAATGTCAAGTAAAAATTTTTTGTCAAGTTAATAAAATGTCAAGAATTGTGGAAGGATATAATATATATAATAATAACCAACAAAAATTGTTGTGACTTAGAATATGTTCTGATTTTAGTCTTGAAAACATATTGTAATATTTAGGTTATTTATTAGTTATTACTATAAGTTATGGTGGAAATAGGAATGTTTTAATTTTATTAAAAGTAAAAAAAAAATATTGGGACCAGTTATGGCTATATTCGATTAAATTTTCCATTTATTGATAATAATACTATATAATAGTAAATATTTAGTATTTATTCTTGTTTTACCCTCTATATGATGATTGATGCCGACTATAAGGAGCAACGCTTTCTCTGAATATTGTCTTTTGGAAACACGGTCATTGTATAGGTGAATATCGGTGTAACATTTCCTATTTGCTGATATAATCATAAAAAAGAAACCTGTTGAATATTGATTAAAAAAATTTACAGTGAATTTATTTGGCCAATATTGAGAACTTTGAGCTTATATTATTTTAAAATAACCAGAACTTAATTTTTAACTTGGCTTTATATTACTATTGTTGTTATATCTTTGTTTAATAAAATTGTTAATGTAATATCTATAAGTTATCAGCACAATGGCGCCGAAATGCTTAAAAAATACTATGACATCGTACATCACGTACATCAATAGTTGGTTCCCCTCATCAAGGTTTCCATCAAAGCCCCTACATAATTCAATGTATAATAATTTATTTTTAGTTTTTAGCTGAACAAAATATATTTAAATATATTTTTTGGGGAGATAGGTACGACAGGTTACCGTTAAGTTGAAATATTCCAACTTGATCGACGTGTGGATGTGAGGTTACAGCGTTTATCAATACCACATGTAAAACAACTGTGACCAATATAAAACATAATAAATAATAATTTACTAAAACCACGAACCATGTCGTACACATTTTACGATGATAGTGAAATAGTCCCTAAAATAAATTAAATAGGCTTAAACCACACATTTTAGAAACTCTAAATTAAACTTAAAATTATTATGTCTGTTAATATAGTAAAATTTGTAGGTAATTAAAATCAAATTTATATCGTTAAAAATGGGACGTTGATCTGCACTATTGATCCGCAATATTCCGGATAAGGTATCTAGAATCTTAATTAATTTTATTTCCAGGTTGCTGTTACTCAAAATTCAAATATTTTATCCATTTAATTAGCTGAGATTTAAATAAATTTCCAAAAATATTCACCAATTGGATATAATAATAGGACGTATTATGTTGATTGATTTTTACCATATGCGGACATGCGGAGCTCGGTGCAGTATAATAAACATCACTTTTAAAATAAGGAAAACACGTTTCTATATATATACATGTATATATATATATATATATATATATATATATATATATAATAATAATATGTGCTATTATTTAGTATTAAACATAATAAAATAATATGTAGAAATCGGATGGGTCAATACCTCATTGGGTAATCAGTCATTACTGTCACAGATTTCTTTATACATTTAATCAATGGAAATAAATAAATAATACAAATTAAATATTTTGTAAATAAATCATCGGAATTTGCACTTACAATCGAAATCTGGTTATGATTTATTGGTATTGACAGTAGCGTTGTAGTGAAATACCATTATTATCTGAAGACTTATAGATACCTATAATAATCACAAAACAAGATTAATTGTTGAACACCTGTTAGAGTAATAATTAATATTTTTAATTTATTTTATTAATTTACTTTACTTTAACTAGATTAGTGTAAGTGTGTGCATGTCTTGGCCAAGATACTAATTTTATTTAGATTTAATATTATGTTTTAATCAATATTTTATCTGTTAGGTATATATATAATATTATTTAATACATTTTGGAGAGAGGGTCTAGACCCCTGATTCCTGAACACTCCCACTCCTAGTACTACGGCCTTGATTTCAGTATGTTATACAAATTAAACCTTTGTTTTCTTTCTATAACATATTTGTTTGAAATTATTTGTCAACCTAAAACACCTTAATTTAAAAAATATACATTTCGAATTAATATGCAAGGGTTGTTGTTGCTGACAATGCATATGCAAATTTCGGAAAAAAAAACATTTTGATTTCTAGTTGATAAAGCAATATACTAATGTTTTTTCTACAAGTTTTTTCAATCAAATATATTTGCATACAAATTACACACTTCGCAGTCAAATGTACTTATAAAAAATAAAAATTGTGACAGGAATACGAAATCCCATGTATGAAATTGAAAAATAATTTATAATGTTAATAATAATAATCTCATTGAATATGCAAATTAATTGATGTACAATATTGAATATAAAGATTTATTGACGAGTACACATTATGATAAAATAACTAATGATTATGAGTGTAATAGTCACTATATTATGTTATACAACAAATAAACAAAATATTGTACCCATCTTTTTTAAATTTATTTTTAAGTAGGAAGGTATAGTAAGGTATAGTAAGGTAGTAGGTAAATCTCTGGGTATATTATGTTCTAACCAATTAAATTAAAAATATAAGCTATAATAATTATTTTTAATATTGTATCTTCAATCTATGCAGCGTGATTGCACTGCGAGTACGGTTTTAACATAATATAATTTTGAAGTATTCGTAATTATTATAAATTCAAGTGTATGTGTAATAATTTATATAGGCGGGCAAAAAGTATAGTCCAGCTGAATTTGATAAAAATGTAATCTTTTTATTTTTTTATACGTTTTACTAGGTTTATATGTACTTTTAAAATATTTTATATTTCCTTTCTTTATCAAATTTATGTAGCCATTTTTATTTAGAAAGCTTACTACTTTTCTTATTCTTTCATCCACCTGCAATAAATAACTTCCCAAGCAGTACTTGAATATTAATGTTTTTCACAGAAAGATTTCTTCTTCGTGTATACAGTAGTATATTATACTATATACACCAAACTCAGGTATAATAATATTCAGTGAGCTGACCTCGTTGAGGGAAACCGTCCACAGGGACGAATATAATACATTATATACATCCATCTATTTTAACCGACTATATATATTTTGTACTCTTAAGATTTCCTACCGTGTTTATTCCAAGTGCATATATGTCTTAGTATAAAAACAATTAGATTTAGACTAGGTACCTACTTATTGTCATCTATCTATTTTCAGATGTACCTACATGAATTTAATCGCCAAATTATATTACTTTTGCTATTATAAATAATTTATTAATTCTTGAGGGTATCAAATTTTGAAATCGTTTAACGTGTTTATGTCTAGACCATACCAACAACTTCACCTCTGAATGTTCATTTATTTTTTGCCATAATCGTATAGTTATTACTTATTAGTATATACATAACTTATCACTTACGTGGCTACTGACTACATTGGTTTTTATTTTATTATCATGCAATATGCAGTATGCATCACTAAAACTAAAATATTTCTTTTTTACCTTTTAGTGTATCTTTAAAATAAACATACTACTGAACAACATATCAATAGAAACACTTACTTATATAAATATTTTAATAACTAAAAAAAAACAATTTAAGTGGGTACCAAGTTAAGATATGTTTTTATTACATAATAAATTATATATTAAATAATAAATATTTAAGTACCTAGTTGAACATTTTATTTAATTCTTCGCCGCACATTTTTCGTAACATGGCATGTCTTCAAACCTTCTGTAAAAGTGAGGGTAATTTCTTAGGTATTTTCCAGTCAGTCTCCAGGTGGTGATATGAATTTCACTTCTGATCGATCTTATTTGGTGTACTACGAAAAATTGTAGGTGTACTAAAAGAAATGAACGATTTTGAAATAAAAAACGTATTGCAGGGTGACTATTCATTGCAACTTAAAATGTCGTAACAGTGATCCATAAAATATATAGTGAACATTAAATTAATACCTCGTTTCCAATATCCAGGGATATATTTTCAAAGCATTTATAATCGGGGTATGATTAAGTCCAAGCATATAATTATATAGCTCTAGAGTCTAGGCATATCAGTTTTAATAGCCTATTATTGTAATGCTATATAAGAAAAATGTTCAGACATTTTAAATTTTTAATATTTTTTCTACACAATTGGGTGATCCGCCAAGCATATTATGCTTACCACATTTTTCATTTAATAATGACTTTATTTCAATTTTAATTTTTAAAATGGTTTAGTA